TTATGCATGTAAATATTGCATTCTCCCAATAGAAGAAGGCTTCTTGAAGGGACGGACCATTTTTTATTTTGTCTTTGCATTCCTAACTCTTAGCACCATGCTGTAGGTAGCAAGTGCTTAATAAAGAAATACTTGTTGAATGAATGAATTCAAAAGACTGAGGCAGTGTGGTGCAGTGGAAAGTATACAGATTCATAGTCAAAAGCTGTGCAATCCTGGGTACGTGACTCACTGTGTCTCAGTTTCCCCACCTATAAAATGAGGGGGTTGGGTTACATGGTCTCAGAGCTCCCTTGCAGCTCTCGGTCAATGCTGCCAATCTTTATCCTTTCTCGGATTTCATCTTCCTCTGCTGTTAAAATAGGAGGGTGGGATTCTAACCTTCCTTTTAGCTCACCTAGATGAGCTAGTATTTGAACAGTCCAGAGTCTGATGGACATAACCACCTGCCCTTTGCAGTAAATTGAAACCTAATCACCCAAGGAATGAGGACATAAGAGACAGTCGTGTTTCTCAATTCCAGAAGGGGAGCTCTGCTCTGCACACCACATTCTATTCCTCTATGAAGGATCTCTCCATCTCCAAAGTCTCTGCTTCCCCCTCCCTACCCCTTCCCCTCAACCTGCCTTGCCCATGAAAGCAATCCATCTGTCTGCTGGCCTGTGAAGTGGGTGCTAGCTGAATGCCCTGCAAAAAGAAGGCAAACCACAAGACAGCCCCCCACCCCCCACCCAGAGTATTCTTGTTGGCCAGTCTCCTCAGGTGAAATAACAGACTCAATTGTCCCTCTTTTCTTTCCACTTCCAGATCTAGAAACAACCCAATAATTTACATGATGTATGAAGTTTTCAAGCTTTCTTATGCTTATAACCTGTAACTTTCCACAAGCTTCAGGTTTCTACATGTTTTAATACAAAGATGAGGGGAGGAAAGAAGAGGAGATGAAAAGGAGAGAAGGAGGGGGGAGGAGAGGGAAGAATTTGGCCCCTCCAGTGACAGCCTTTTAATTAACTACACTTATGGATTTTAAATCTGGAAATGTTGACTCTCTGTATATGATATGTCATAATTCACTAAAAGCATGAATTTTTTAAATCTTTTTTTTCTTTTAAGGTACAGTTTCTGCTGTGCGTTACATACCTTCAGAAGCAACTGTGAAAATCATTAACTGTGCAAGTTGCAAGGGGCCCTAGCTTGCAATTTGCAGCATTTCACCTCCTCCTTTTCTTTACCCCTCCCCTTCACAGCAATCCTAAGCACACCAGCCAAAGGATTTTAAACATCTGATCAAATCCCCCAAAGCCAAAGGGCATGGATGGAATGGAAATTTGCAGCAGGAAAAGTTCTTTCTTCAAGATGGCAGATGATTTCCCCTTTCTTCATAGACTGGAATCTATCACTTACTCAACTATAAATTAATTGGTAATGGAGTCAGATAAAATGTTGGCCAGCATGCAGTTAGATGAAAGAATATATGAAACTATAATATTTTTAGCCCATCTATATCTAAATCTCCCTTTAACCCTCCCTACACTAAAGTGGAAAGAATACCAACATTTGACTAAAGACAAAGTCTAAAGCATTTGTCAGAGATTGATCAATCAACGTTTATTAACTACCTACTCCAAGCTAGACGTGGCTAAGTGCTAGATGACGTAGAAGAGATTCCTCTTTGGGTAGATGATGGACCAGATGGACTCTGAGGGTCCTTCCATCTCTGGAATGCTGGGAATCTATGTTCAGACTGGAGAATTCTGCTTGAGCTCAAAGCTAGCTTGCTGGGTCTTTGCATAAAGCCCCAAATTCTCCAACTGTGTTATCTTGGGGAAGGGCATATTCAAAATACTAAACTATTCTTTCTAAGGTGGCCCAAAGAATTCATTTTTCACTCTTTCCTGGCTAATTACCATGTACTTTATTCTCTAAGGGAAAGGGTGAGGGGGAGGCAACTCCAAGTCTCAAAGGAGAAGAGCTGCCAGTCCTTTTTTTTTTTAAACTCTCCTCATCTTCCTTTTCCATTCCTCGATCTTAATTCTTCCTGTTATAGGAATGTATATGTAGAGCTAGACCTTAGAGGTCACATAGCCCAACCTCCTCATTCCACAAATGATGAGTCACTTGCTCAAAATCACACAGCTAAATAATAACAGAACTGGGATTCTAACCTAGGTCTTCTATCTCCAAATCCAGTAGTCTATCATTTCCTCCTATTTCTGGCTATCTTCATATTCTCCTCAGATTTGTTTTGGGTGTTCACCCATCACTGCCATTTGTTTTCATTTCTCTAAAAATTTCCATGATCCCTTTCCAGACATGTATTTATCTCCTTTCCCTCAGCCCCAACAATATACTCTTTCTATAGCCGGTGACATTGATAGAATGGAATGTCAAGAGCTGGAAGCACCTTGGATATTTATCTAGCCCAGTGTCCTCATCCTACAGATGAGGGAACAAGGCCAGATTGAAGAAGGGACTTGGTCCAAAGTCCCGCAATAAATTAGTACCAGATCTGAGACTACAGTCCGAGCCCCACACGTGTCATCTTGCTTTCTACAAAACAATACTGCCTCCTCTTGGGTTCTCAGCCAGAAGGGATTCTGCCCAGTTGCCAGCTTCCTCTCTCCCTATGAAGCTGTAGGCTGGTTTTCGTGACTCTTGGAAGGGATTAAGAATCCCTACTATTCCACAGGATAGTCTGGCTCTGCGGCTCACGGTAAGTGTGCACAAAAGTTAGTTTGAATTACTTTTTGTTATCTGAAGTGCTTAAAAAGCCCACAAGCTGCCTAACTCCTGGGCCAGTAGAAGCAACCCTAGTTCTTTTCCTCCATGCTGTCCAGGTCCAGCAAGGCCAGGGAGCACCCAATTTTCCTTTACTTGATCCCATTAAGAGGCTTGGACTCCACTGCCTCCCTCTATAGCAGGGTTTCTTTTTTTAAAATTTATTTATTTTGCGAGGCAATTGGGGTTAAGTGACTTGCCCAGGGTCACACAGCTAGTAAGTGTCAAGTATCTGGTCTGAGACCGGATTTGAACTCAGGTCCTCCTGACTTCCTGTGCCACCTAGCTGCCCCTATAGCAGGGTTTCTTAACTCTTTTTGAATCCTGGACCCATTTGGGAGACTGGTGAAACCAATGGACGCCTTCTCAGAATAATCTTTTAAATGCATAAAATAAAATACATAGATTAGAAAGGAAACCAAAAGTTAATGAAAATAAAGATAGAATGTTTATTTTACTTTATTTTATTTTTTGACCAGTGAAGTTCACCGACCCTCTGGAGTGTATCCCTAAGAGATCTCTGGATCCTGAGCTAAGAAGTTCTGCTCTGAAGAAATGCAATCCACATAGAATAGAGGCAATAAATGTGGTAGAAAATATTTGGAGAACAACTTATATGACAACAAACATAACACTGAAAGGCCTGAGAGTGATGATTGGTGAGGTAACCAAGTGTGACTTCAGAGAACTGACAGCGAAATATGCTTCCTGCCTCTCAGCAGACAGGTGATGGACCACAGGTGTGGAATGAGGCATTCCTTGTCAGTCATGACCAATGCATTGATTTGTTTTGCTAAACTTCATTTTTTTTAAATAAAGGAGGATTCTATAGACAAGAAAGAGTCAGGAAATGATCCGGATGCTTTCAAAATATCAACAAGTATCTTTTGCAACATGACTAATGCAAATATGTTTTGCATGACATCACATGTATAATTGATGTCAAATGTCTTGCCTATCCAAGGTAGGGGGAAGGAGGGACAGAATTTGGAACTTTAAAAAGACAAATATTAAAAAATTTTTGTTACATGTAATGGACAAATAGTTAATGAAATCAAAATATATTGGAGGAAAAAAATCAACAAAGTTTTTTTAAATTAAAAAAATAGAGTCAGAGACCCCTATACATTCTATACAGGACAAAGCTCAGGGTCTGTTAAATATGTGTTCTGAAGCTATTCTGGTAGAGTGGAATGAGGACATGTAGGCCCACCCTTTTCCTCAAAACATGGAAATTTGAAACTAGGTACTACCTTCTGGGAGTTAAGACAGCACAGTGGATAGATCACTAAACTTTAAGTCCTAAGACTTTAGTTCAAATCCCAGTTCTACTAGCGGTACTTGTATAAGGGTGGGCAAGTCACTTAACCCCTCTGGGCTTAGTTTTCCCATCTGTAAAATTGAAGGTGTTGAATTAATGACCTTTAAAGTCTATTCCCATTCAAAGTATATGATTCCATCACTGCTGTTGGCTCATATCTTGCCTTTGCTTGACTCTTAACCATCAGTTCTAGTCCACAAATGGGCCACTATGTTTTCTGAGTATAAGATATTGGGGAATACCTCAATCTCAGGACAACTTGTGTGGCACTGGGTAATCAGAGGCCAACACAATAGGGAGGCAAGCTCTGGAAGGGCCGGAAGCCCCTCCTCCAGTTCTAAGCCATTGCCCTGTCAGATAGCACTTGGGCTTATACTGTTAAACTGCATGGGCCTAAGGGAACTGATCTGCCATGTTGGGGGCCCATGGTGCCTAAGTCCCTTGGCTCTTGCGTCATCTTACTGGGGCCCAGGTCTCCATAAAACTTCCCAGACTGCTTCACTCTATGGCACCGAGCAAGTTTTCAGCTCCCCTCTCTAAGTTCTCTTTGCCCATTAGAATGTAACTTCCTTAAGGGTACAACTACTGCTTGCTTACACTTATATCTCAGCTCTTAGAACTACACCTGGTATATAATAAGTGCTTAATATATGCTTTTTCTATCTGTCTAGATATGACTTCTGAGGTCCCTTTCAGATTTAAATCTATGATCCCATGACCCATCCCCCACCCCCAGCCCTCATATTTCTCATCTGTGAAATGGCAGCATTGGATAAGATGACCCTTTCACATCCTTTCCAACCTTAAGTATAGTCCTGTCCTCTTGCTCAAGGTGGAAGCCAATGCTTGGGTTTGATATTATTGAAATACTGGAAATAAAGAAGGAATAGCCAGGACTTACGTGATTCCTTTTCTCTTCATCCTTTATGGTGGTAATAATGGTCTCTGAAACAACTGTTTGTCCAGTTTGACTGTTGGTTACCTAGGATGGAAACATTGGCACAGTAAGGACAAATGGAACATGAGATTCCAGATTTATGCAACAAGTCGGTCCCATGCTCCTGTCCTTCCCTGAGGGAGACACATCTGGAAAAGCAGCTTGACTGCTAACACTCGCCCTTTCTTTCACAGTCACATGAAAAGTAATCAGATTCAGCCCTAAATAATAATGACAATGATCACTGCAATCAGGCCTTCCCAGTGAATAACCCTCAACAGTATCTCAAGTGCTTTCCCAGACGACGTCTCGTCTGAACCCCACAACAGGCCTCTGCACCTGCCCCAGGGGTGTCCTCCCCCTTCTTCATTCAACAAGTCATGTGAAAAGGAGAAATTCATAGTTGTCTCTGGCTGTAATTATCATCTCCATGTGGAAATAGTATAAATATTAGTTGAATGAATGATGCAGATCTTACACCCTGAACACATGAGAACTCCACACGGCCTTGGGTGGGAGACCTCTCTGGAAAAAAGATTTGTGAGACCTCCATTTTCCCAAGGGAAGGAACCCCCTTTCCCCCTTCATGCAAGGAGACGTCGTTGCTACAGATGTGATGAGGTGCTGTGCACGTCTCATACCTTGTCAATTTCCTGGTGCCTGTAGATGGTTTTGTTTCCAATCTTGACTTCACTGTGGGAGTCATTGTGGAAATTGGGAGGCAGGTCTTGCAAGAGGACTTCTGATGACGCCTTGGTGGCTTCCTCCTCTGCTTTCATCTACAAATTTAATAAGAGCTTGATGAGTACCTTGAAGGGTCTGAAAGTTATCAGTCAGATCCCAACAGACTAGAGGAGTTATCGAGGGGGTGGTGCTCATCCCTGTTTCAGACACAGGAAGCTGGGGTTCAGTTCCCTGCTCAGGACTGTGGTATGACTTAAGGCATCACGGTGTAACCAGAAAAACCAATGGACAAGGAGTCAGGAGAGCTCACTCCCAGATTAGCGTCTGCCACTCTCTCTCTGTGTAACCTTGAATGAGTAACTCCTGTCTAGATTTCACTTTCTTCCTCTTAAAATGATGATGATGATATCCAGTTCTGAAATTCTGGGGTTCTATGAAACCCTACTCCTATGCAGCCAGAGAACCTGAGAACAAGTATGTTGTTTAGTAGTTCAGTCATGTCTGACTCTACCTGAACCTGCGGACAAAATACATGGAGTTTTCTTGGCAAAGATACTGGAGTAGTTTTCTATTTCCTTATCTGGTATGTCCACCATTTTATAGATGAGGAACTGAGGCAAATAGGGGTTAAGTGACTCATCCAGGATCACACAGTTAATAAGTGTCTGAGGCCAGATTTGAACTCATCTTCCTGACTCCAGGCCTGATGTTCTATCCAGTGCACCACTATCTGCTCCTCAGTAGATAGAGCCCTTTGGAAAACTGCTAAAAATGAAATGAAAATAATAGCTAATAATAATAGCTAACATGTATACACAGTATAGCATTTTTAATATACCAGACACTGTGCTAAGTGCTTTCACTAATCAATAAACATTTATTAAGTACCTACTAGGTGCCAAGTGCTTTCTAATTATTATCTCATTTGATTGGCATAATAACCCTGGAAGGTTGGTGCTATTATTATCCCTATTTTACAGATGAGAGAACTGAGGCAAACAGAGGTTAAGTTACTTGCCCAGGGTTACATAGCTAGTAAATATCTGAAGCCAGATTTAAATTCAGGTCTTCCCAACTCCAGGGTGAGCATTCTATGCATCATGCCAACCAATTGCCTCTAGGACATGGTGGGCAGGGGATAGAGAAACACCTACACCATTGCCTTGAGCTCAGGGTAGGTATCTTGCTGTCATCCTCTGTTTAACCACTCTATTTAACCAATTCTAGGTACCACATCTAAAGTGAGGCATTGACAAGATAGAGTATTACTGGGGATGGGCAGCCAGGATGGTAGAGGTTAGGGTTGGGGGAAAAAGATGATCTTAGGCTAAGCTGAGAGATATGGCTTTAATTTAGACTGTGATCTCTGTGATCCAATAGATAAAGGACTGACACGTGGACTTAATCATCTAAGCCCCCATGAAGTACCAGGCATTATGCTAAGGTGTCAGGGTTACAAAAACAGAGAAATAGAGAAGCAATAGTCCATGACTTTTAGAAGCTTAGGGGTGGGGTGGGGGGAATGTGTACATAGATAGGTATATACAGGATAGAAACAAGATAAACACAAGAGAAGTTTTTTGGGAGAAAGTGCCAGTAGCTGATGGTGCGGATCAGGTACAAACAAGGTGATACTTGCATTGAATCTCAAATCGAACAAAGCTAAGGGATTCTGAGAGGTGGGGGTGAAAAGGATGTCTGTTCCAAGAATGGGGAACAGTCAGAGCAAAGCCACTGAGAACGATGATGGAGTGTTTGTTATGTGTAAGGAACAGCAAGACCAGTTTGGAAAAAAAGGTGAGATATACACATTTGCTCTTCTTTTCTTTTCTTTTCTTTGCTCTTTTTTTGTGGGGGAAGGAGATGAGAGAAGAGAGAAAGTAGAGGCATGAGGAGAGCTTCAAAAAGCAGGCAGTCCCTGGTGAAACACGTCACAGGGAAGCTGAGGAGGGTGAATGTGAAAAGATGCTCTGGAAGGAAGGGGGAGGTCATGGGGCTCCTGCAGTCTCTAGGAGCAGAATCCAGTGTGTGAAGGATTCAGAAGGAATGGTTCAATAAGAAATGGGAGCAGTGCATGTAGACACCAGTTTGAAGATACTAGCAACAAAATAAGGGCATCAGACTGGATGGTGGCTAGGGGTCAGAGTAGAGAACATAGAGTTTTGGGGTTTTTTTGCATGACTACACAAGTATAACCTGTATCGAGTTGCTTGCCTTCTCAATGAGGGTGGGTGGGGAGGGAGGAAGGAAGAAAATTTGGAACCTAAAGTTTTAAAAACAAATGTTAAAAAATTGTTTTCACATGCACCTGGGAAATAAGATATACAGGCAATGGGGTATAGAAATCTATCCTGCCCTATAGGAAACTAGAAAAGGAAGGGGATAAGAGAAGGAGGGGGGAGATAGAAAGGAGGGCAGATTCTGTATTCAGAATGCATGCTGTCTTGGGGCTGGGGGAGGGATGAGATGGGGAGAAAATCTGGAACTCAAAATCTTGTGGATGTGAATGTTGAAAACTAAAAATAAATCAATTAATGAATCTTAAAAAAAAAAAAGATGAGGCTAGATGACCAGTTGGTGGGTATATCATGACGGTAATTCCTTCTGTGTATGGGTTGAACTACATGGTCATTGAAATCCCTTCCAACTTTCAAATTGTATAATTTCATGAAAAGTCCTATATCTGCCTATCTATCCATCTATTCATCTAGCTATCCATTTATCCATCCATCTATTTATAGCAGTACTTTTGTGGTAGCAAAGAACTAAAAAGAAAAATGAGCATCCATCAACTGGAAAATGGCTGAACAAATTGTTGCATATCAACTTAATGGAATACTATTATGTTCAAAGAAATTTAGAAATAGGAAGATTTTTATGAATTGATGCAAAATGAAATACAAAGACCCAAGAGAACAATTCATAAAATGACTACTAAAGGGAAAAATGTTGAAAGACATTATAACTTTGAGCAATGCGATAAAGCAATCAATTTCAGAGAACTAAGAGTAAAACATACTCTTTCCTCCTAGCTGAGAGGCAGTGAATTATGGGCACAGAATAAAGTATACATTGTCAGGTAAAAAAAAAATAATGTAAGGGAGAGGTGAGTATATTTGTAGGTACAGAGGAGGAACTACAAAGGGCCGTCACATGGGGAAAAGATCGGTCTTGTTCTGCTCGGCCCTGAGGGCAGAACTGGGACCAAAGGGTAGAAGTTGTGGAGGCAAATTTTGGCTTAATATGAAGAACAACTTGCGATTTATTGGAGTTATCCCAAAATGAAGAGGGCTACCTTGTGAGATATAGGTATTCTCTCACCAGAGATCTTCAAGCTAAGAATGAGTGGTCACTTCTCAGCTATGTTGGAGGGGGAGCCTTCTTCAGGTGTGACCTGGATTTAGCTTCTTGTAAGCAGGGCCTATTTCACTCTTTGTACTTGAATCCTCACTGCCGTGCCTGGCACATAGTAGGGGCTTAAGAAGTGCTTGCTGATTGACTAGATGACTACTGAGGTCCCTTTCAACTCTGAAAATGATCAAATTCTGTCATTATGGGGAGAGATTGAAACTAAAATGAGAGGGAGGGAGGGAAAGACAGACAGAGAGAGGGGCAGAGAGGAGAGACAGAGACAGAGAGAGAAAGACAGAGGGGGCAGAGAAGAGAGACAGAGACAGAGACAAAGAGAGACAGAGGGGGCAGAGAGGAGAGACAGAGACAGAAAGAGAGAGAGAGAAACAGAGGGGGCAGAGAGGAGAGACAGAGACAGAGACAGAGAGAGAGAATCTATGGGCTCCAATACTGGGAGAGGGAATCAGAAATAGATAAAAATCAGAATGTATGACATCCCAAAAGTCTTAGTGCAGTTTTAAGCTAGCTAAAGAGGAGAAAGGGTTATTCTAAGGAGCGACAGGGTCAAAAGAGAGAATAGAACAAATGGGGGGTAGGATAGGATGAAGGGAAATATACTTAGTTTTTCATAACAGGACTACTATGGAAGTGTTTTTGCATGACTACACATGTATAACCTGTATCGAGTTGCCTGCCTTCTCAATGAGGGTGGGTGGGGAGGGAGGAAAGGAGAAAATTTGGAACCCAAAGTTTTAAAGACAAATGTTAAAAAAAAATTGTTTTCACATGCAACTGGGAAATAAGATATGTAGGAAATGGGGTATAGAAATCTATCCTGCCCTACAGGAAAATTGAAGAGGAAGGGGATAAGAGAAGGGGGGGAGATATAGAAGGGAGGGCAGATTAGAGGAAGGGGTATTCAGAATGCATGCCATCCTGGGGTGGGGGGAAGGACGAGAAGGGGAGAAAATTTGGAGCTAAGAATCTTGTGGAAGTGAATGTTGAAAACTAAAAATAAATAAATTAATTTAAAAAAGAGAAGAAGGGGTTAGTTTCAGAGAAGTCTTTTCTATAGTGACCATACATAGAGAAACTTTCTATAGAGATTTTCATATAGAGAGGGACGGATGGGAAGGATAGATTTAGGTGTGTCCAAAGATTGGAACTCATGCCAGGTCATCTCAATATTTTCCACAAAGTAGGAGGCAAGGTCATCTACTAAGAAAGAAATGGCACTTTGGCCATTACATGGTTAATTTGTTCTATGCAGCTTCAGTTCCTAGCACATGGTAAGAACTTAATAAATGATCTAGCTCACTAGCCATCTATGCCAAGGGAAAACAATCCACTTTGGCATGTGAATGATTCAATTTGGTTTCCTATGTCGATCAAATAACCAAATAACGAGCAAGTCTCCACTTCCCTAAATGTAACAGAAATGAGTCTTTGTGTAAAATTATTCTCAGCAGAATGAGCTACAGACTTTTTAACAACATCATAAACCACTGAAAGTGCAGTTTTATCATGGAAATTCTATGCACCCATAACTATTATTGCCCTAGCAGGCAATCTTGGGCATTTAGCATGTTATATTCAACACAGAAAGACTATGTAGCCTATTAAATACGGCACATACGAAACTTATTGTTTCCATGAGCCCATTATGGGGGCATAATGTGATAATAGGGGAAAGATCTTCATTCCAGCTCAGGACTTGGGTTCCACCCATCTAGCAATAACACAA